ATAGATAGATAGATAGATAGATAGATAGATAGATAGATAGATAGATAGATAGATAGATAGATAGATAGATAGATAGATAGATAGATAGATAGATAGATAGACGGATAGATGGATAGATGGATGATCTCCGGCGGTTGGCGAGCAAAATAGAGGAGATATAAAAGCACAATAACACATCCACTTAAAATAAAGGTAAACCTGACTGCTCTTCTTATAGATGCTAAAGGGTTAAGCCCGTTCATTGCCTGCATCTGGGAGTCATTTAAAACATTCCACAAGGCTTACCACATGTTTTCAGACAGGCTAAACCCCATGAAGCAGATTTTGCTGTCCAGGGCTGGAAGTTTTCAAAGAGTGCTTTTGAGAAAATTAAACTGTTAGCTTTTTGAAGGCTCGAGATGAGATGGTGCGAGGGTGGCAGAGAAGACTATCCTTGCCTGTCTTTTCATACCCATGCGTGTGTGGATCAGTCCTCTTTGAAGCGGTGGGATGCTAAATGGCGCTAGTTCTTTCCCACCCTCTGATAGGATCTTCACAGGCTTGCGTTCCCAGCTCATTTCCTCTGGTCAAGTCTTGTGACCCGTCAAAACACAAAAGGGTTTTAGGTGTTCGCTCTAGATGCAATACAAAGGCCATGCAATTTAAACCATAGGCAATTAAAAAATGATACAAAATGACACGTTCACTCAACCCAAGTAGCCCTTGTATTTCATTCCACGGGTGTGGTAAGGGAAACCTAATCACTTATTTTAATTATTCTTATACTGTATGTTAAACAGATTGAGACAGAAATATCAGCCAAAATCAGACTAGGGCTTCCATTGTGCAGATCATTTCAATGTAACTCGTATCAGTTGTATGAAGGCTGTTCTTTCAAACATTCATTACTTTTAGAATGATTACAATGTCCAGTGAGATCACTGAAATTCGGAATGTAAAGTGCTGTGGCTGGACTAGTGAGCATTTTGACAGGAGGATGTAAATCTGAACGTGGAACCACCTCAAAACAATATATAGACTTCTATAGACCTGGATGAGACCTCACCAATTTCATCTTGAACTGTAAGCCAACGGCTACAAGAGGCTGGAGTGACAGGTTGGGTACCAGTAAAGAAACCATTTATTAGTTTTATCTACTGCCAAAAACACTTTGCATTTGCCAAAGAACATATGGAGTGTGGAAGATTGGAGTCTGACAAGTCAAAACTGAACAACCTACCATTGGATGGTGTCAGGTATATTCGTAGAAGACGAGTGTTTTAATACCAAATGTGTGCATGACACCATTAAGCAGCAGAAACAATGGTATTGGGGTATGCCGCTAGTGTTGGAAGGATCTACAGAGTTTGGAAATCTTGTTGAACACAATGTAGCCAAAAATGGAGGATCTTTTTAGAGATCCTCCATGTTTGGCTACATTTTTGGCTACATTGTGTTGTGTTAGCATTCAAAAAAGTTGCAATGCAATGTAAGAGTTCATATTCATCATTTTGAAGTCTTTAAGTGGCCTCCTCAGTCCCCCGACCTTAAAGCAATTGAACAGCTTTGGGAAATTATAAACTTGAGTTGTGATATATGCAGGTCTTCCGATGAAACTCAACTTTGGGAAGAACTTAAGGGGGATTGGACAAAAGTTAAGCATGTCACAAAGTTGAGTGTGTCAATGCCCAGGACATGGCTGCTATGATCAAAAACAAGGGAGAACCAACAAAATATGAATAATTACACTGTAGTCAATGCACTATTTCATTAGTTTCTTGTTTTTCTATGCCTTTTTTTGCATTATACAATAAAATCCATATTTCAATGTGAGTTTGCCTTTCTGGCCAAATAAGTTAGTCATTTTAATACCTTAAACAAGTTAGTATATAATTAGTATATTGTTTGAATGACGATGGTTGGCCAGATATTGTGGTTTGCGGTAGGTGGTATGCCATACGGAACCGTTTTCCACTGAAACTGCTTTATAACGCACCATTGGGGCTCGACAGCCATTATCAAACGGGTTGGCGCGTATGGTTGGGTTGCGCGTGATTGTGGTTAGGTCTGGGACGCCAGGGTCACTGTCGAGCCCTCTTGAGGTGTCGTGGGCTAGTCGACGAAACACTGAGGACGGAAGGTGCCCACTTTAAGACCCTGATGTCCCCTACTCGGCTCAATCCAGACGGTTGTCGTGGTGATCCACTAGGGAGACCACACTGTAGTTGCAGCCATCGTGTGTGCTGACGCGGCAAGTACACTGCAGCCGTTAACGCTGCCGGACAGAAGGGGAGTCTCACCACCATATAGAAGCGTAAATGGATGGAGAAGCATAGTTTACTGTAAAGCTACGTCTTAGCTTACCTTGGCGAAATCCAAGTATAAATCAGCATGAAGTTTTAACATCTACTCTCGTGTAATGGAAATCATTTTTTTAGTATATACAATAGTATATAATGACTTGACTGTTTAATAGACAGTGAAATGTCATTAAAAGAAAATATTGTGAAAATATCCCCTCCGCACATCACTTTTGGCAACTACAGTAAATCCTGTACATTAATATGATTCTATACATGTTTGTAGATTTAAAAAGCAAAACTCAGTTTTATATAACAGGGGGGGTCTGAATAATTTACTCACCCCCATGTTATCCAAGATGTCCATCTTTTTTCGTGTCATTTGATTTATTCAACGAACGAAATGAACGAGTTGACTCGGGAAAAGATTAGTTCATTTTGATAAACAAGTAAAATTGGTCAGGGCCAGCCTGACCTGTGCTTCTCAGCTCCAGTAATGGGGACACTAAGCAGCTGATCAGCTGAATCAGGTACTTTAATGTTTTAGACATCTAAAACATTCTGGAAGTGGGTCCTCGGGAATGAAGTAGAGAAACACTGCTCTATTCACTACATGAAGTAACAGCAATAAAAACTGCAAAACTAAGAACATAAGTTTGCATAATGAGAAAAAGAATTTGTCTTTAGACTTTGTCATTTTTTCTATATATTACCGGAGAGATGGGAGAGATTAATCTGATTATAAGCACTCTGAAACCTATATTTAATCTTAGGCATGCGTTTCTAAATATAGAACCAAGAAAAAACAGCTTTTCCCCTCAAATCTGATTGTATTTTTCTCTAAAAGAAGGGGATTATGAGTCATTTGAACAGCTATTGAAGCCCATAGGCCAAGAAAACCACATGTGACACGACTCCATCTAGTTTATTTTTCTCTTCTGTTAATGTGACGTTCCCTCATTTGCGAGGTGATGGGCCATATAGGCAAAAGGTCTTGGCATTCTTTCAGCAGTTGTACTATTTGCAAACACACTCTGAGGGATACCAAGAGGGTTCACTCAGAGCGGGCAGTCATATTATATGATGGGAAGCAAACAAGTAGAGGCAAAGGCTGCTCCTAGAATTAGCTCACAGAAACAAGATGAGGGCAGACAAACTGATCCCTGTTGGGGGAAAAATAGATTCAACACTCAACAGGTCTGTGCTGCATGGTCTCACCTGGTTTAGGCTGTTTAAAATGGGCTCTCAACCTACTGGGCCCTAGGATCTGATATTAGTGTTTCATGTGGATGGCTTCTCTTCAGTTTTAAATGCATGGTTGCAAAGGAAGAGCTTCTGCAACCAAGAAACGGTGTCCTTGTAGTCACAGTAAAGTGGTAAAAGGTCTTAAGAGGGTGGATGCTTAGCGCTTGTGTAAATTTAAGGCATCATCACAAGATCAACGGTGCTTGCTGCTGTTTTTCACACAGTGCACATCACGATGTTGACACATATGTTCTGAGACCACAAAGCACGGCAATGCAAATGTTGCTTAAAGCCTTCTGGAACCTTTAACATCAATATTGTACACTGTAAAAACGAAAAGATACTTTCTGGTGTGATTTATGATTTGTGGCAAGTGGACAGTTTGATGTCTGCGTCAACAGTTCTTGTAACTTATTGATTCCATTATGTACATTCCTCATAACCCTTTTCCATCAAAACATCGCTGTTTTTTTTCTTCACACATCTGATGCTAATCGATAATATATTTTAACAACAGCTTTTTTTTAGACAGATAGGAGTTTACACGAGTTTAGATTAGCTTCTTTTGATGCAATGGCCAGACATTTAAATATGAGGAAAAATCATAGTAATCGATAATTTTTGTCAATAAATTTCTTTTATTTTATACATGAAAAAAGCAACTAAGACATGCAACATGATTTACAGTATATTATGATATGTGATATATGTTGGTGCTGTATCACTTAATTTTAATTCTTTGAGTAGAAAATTAAATATACAACAATTACCAATAGTCTAATTACCAGTAATCACAATAAGGAATTACTCAGATTATCAGATTATATCATTTTTAAAACATTTTGTCAACAACAACACTCAAAGGCCCAATGACTTTTCCTGTTGTTCATGATTTACTTTTACTAGCTATAGTATTCACAATTTCTACCCCCTAAAAAATGCAGAGCTTGGCATTTAAAATGAGACTTTTTCAGGACTGTTGATGAGAGGGTGAATTGAAATAAGAAATATTTGAGTTTTGACTTCTTAAAGTCATCTTGAGATAAATTTGTTTTATGTTTACATGCTAAACATTTTTTTTCATTAATTGAACCAGGTGTGATAGGGTTTTGTGCAATTTTTCCTCATCATTTACTCATTCCCAAACCCACAACACAATTTGTTCGACTGAAATATAAAATGTTTGGCGATAGTGTTGGCTACCGAACCTTTCTCGATTTGTCAGAAACATGTCCAATCCTGAAACACATTACACTTAATCCTCGAAGAACTTCGAGTTGTTTCTATAGGTGTTTTAGTCACCTAAAACACAGTTTTGTCCTAATGCAAAAGTACTGAACTTCCTGCATAACGCGCAATGGTTACATAAAGGCGAGCAGCAGCTGAGCTTGTGTTCAGTGGTATCGTGCCCTGAAGTGACACCGCGGAAGGGGAGAATGGGAGGAGACGGCGGCGGAGGCTGGCCGGTGTTCGGTTTCACCAGCTCACACGTGACCGCAATGGCTGCTTGTCAGTTCGTTGCAGTGCATCATTCCTCTGCCGCCCTGCGAATGTAGCCTTGACTACATCAGTGCTCTCGCTTCTTTGAACTGTCGGTGCAGACACTACCACCCGCCGAAACGAAATTCCTCTACAAAATCAGCAGAACAGCTCACCGGCTGAGAAGAAGAACAACATTCGGGGAGAGAAATTAAAGCGTCTCTGGGTTCAACTTCCACCAACCAACACAGCGGTAGGAGGAGTCAACAGGTATTGGCGCTCTCTATTTACGTGACAATACAATTGCTTGGCTGACAGGTAGCCACATTAATAGCGTCTTCTTGACAGATGTGGAGCAGTGAATAGGCGCGTCCTTCGGCGCTCAGATGCGGTGTGCTACTTAACTGTAAAGCTGCCCGTTGAGTTTGATCGAAACCGCATACGGGGGTAATAATGACCGGTCTGCGGCTGCTACGTAATAAAATGCGCTGTATTGTTCTCTTACCTGAATGAGCAATGTGTCATTGAGAGCTTTTGGAGAAAGTATTTCATGCAAACGCGGATACTATCCAAGCGTCCTGCATTGAATTGAATTTCGTCGTGCGTCGACTTTATTCTTTCAGACATTCACTATATTGTTTTTGGCTTTTAAAAATCTTATTCATATTTGCCTATATAACGTTAGACAGAACATGTTGAGCATGATGTAGGCTAATTAACTGGGTCACTTCGTTCTACAAACAAAAGCAACAAATGCATCTATATAAGTAATTTCCTGCTTGGATTAACTCATTTGAAATAGGCTACTGCATTTCTGTCAACATGCAATATCTGAATACTGAGCAAAGTATTTGTTCTTCTGCCCGAATCTGCTATTTAAAGTGATAGTTCACACAAATATGAAAATTCTATCATCATTTAGCTACTCACCCTCCAATTGTTCAAAACCTCTATGATTTTTTTTTTTAGTTAGCCTACAAATGAACTGGTTTCATGGCTTGTTTAAAAAGAATCTATGTAGGCTATAGGTCTAATTGGTAATTTCATCCCATAGCAGGTTATATAACATATTAAAGCAATACCCCGCTCTGCCTCATGCCTAACAACGCCCCTTAGCTGTTCTAAATTCACTGTAAAACACGGCTTCAAGGGGATTTTGGCTTTTTTAAAACGGTTACTCTATAAAAATATTCATTTTAACATGTATTTTATTCATACACTCTAAAAAATGCTGGGTTGTTTTAACCCAACTTTGGGTCAAATATGGACTAACCCAGCCGTTGGGTTAAATTTTTACATTACATTTTTAACCCAACATTTCGGGTTTGTCCATATTTGACCCAAAATTGGGTTAAAACAACCCAGCATTTTTTAGAGTGTAAAATAAACGTCAGCAACAAAAAATATAACATTATAACACATTTATTCCTCCATCAAGCAATGTATTTCAAAAGAGGTTGCCAAAGGGTCACAAATGGCAGTTGCGCAGTAATACTAATGTAATGCAGTCACAGGTGTATGTTTGTTGAGTAATTTACAACTGCTTCAAACGCGGCTCAACCAATCAGAATCTATGACCGGAACTCAGTTTTATAATTGGATTTTTAATAGGCTACCTGATGCCACAGCATGTTATCCCTTTGACACGTATTTAATATAAAATAGGAACCTTTAAAACTATAACATACAGAACCAGTATATAGAACCAAATATTTTATTAGAAGATAAACAAGGAAACAAAAAGAGTTTGCTATGAAAACATTTTATTAGCACTTTGCACAAAGTAATGCAAGTGAAGCATACAAATCATATTATTAAAAAAATAAAATAAAAACCTTTAAAATGTAAAATCTGTTTGCTCACTGAAATACATCAGTGAATTATGATCATTTGAGTAAAATCCAGACTTTGTGCTGATCCACCAATCCTGATGGGAATATGAAGAAGACAAATGATTAAAGTGCTAATGAATCCGCTCTATTAAAGAGACACTCCATCCATTGCATTTGCATTTGCGTTAAGGTTTCCATTGTTAGAAACACAGTTATACTATTGAATGGTCTTGCAACACTCTCTCATTTTCCCCTGAGACGAGAGAAATCTGCTATTTACCTTTTTCACTTCCTCCTACAATGACGCAAAAATTGTCATTTTACGTCATTGTAGGAGGAAGTGTAAGAGGGGCGATTTCTGTAAAGACTACAAGCACTAGTCCTTACCCTTTCAAACCCACCCATAGGGGGTTGGGCCTAATGTGCTAACAGACCAATCACAGATCAGTGCGTTTGATTTCACCGGCAGAAACTTTTTTGAAAATATGGAAAAAGGTACTGAATAATATGCAGACAGATGCATTATGGAGGATTTGGATTAAACATACTGTCAGCCATCTTTTTTTTTTTTGACTTGGCCAGGTCGCAGTTGTAAACGAGAGCTTGTTCTCAACTGATTTTACCTGGTTAAACAAAAGTTAAATAAATAAAAAGGCTTCAAGCGTCTTCGTCAATAAGATTTGCTTTATTATAAACCAATGAAATTGGATGTGGGTGTAGCAACACGTCCTGCCCCATCGCCCAGACTGCAATATGGAGTACTAATATTAGGCACTCGATTCACTTTGTGTGCTGTGAATTAATGGCTGAAATGAGTCATACTTGTGATGCATTGAAACTATTCAGCATATGGTGTAAGAAGCGAAGTGTTTTCGGTTAGTTCTGTTTTCGCAGTTAAATGGGAAGTTCCTCGGCCATCTGTCTGCAATAGAAAGAGGAATGGGTACGATATTTGCTTCCTCAAAGCTCTGCCACTTTCATGCACGTCGTCTGCAGAGACATTTGCCACAAAGCCTGACATTTCGGTTTTTCCATTCGTAAAAGCGTGCTCAAGGTATCACCTCCTGTTGTGTTTGTCTCTAACCTTCCACCAGGGCTCTCAAATGTCCTCTGTCGTTCCAAAATAGCAGGGAGGGGAACACAAAGCTGACAGAATCAGGGTGCTATCCAATGCTGTCGCCCTTGCCATTTTTTCAAAAATCTGCTTTTTCACACTGCTGGATATGACTATTTGACGGCGCCGCTCCTCTTTCCATTTGTCTATTTTACCTCCCTCTTTCTCTCCAGTGGATTGATTTTAGCGTTCTCTCTCATTAATCATTTCAAATTGTCTGCAATATTGTATATTGAAGGAACTGATGATTTTGGATCCCTGTCTTTAGTTCACACAAAAATGAAAAATTCTTTCATTTACTCAACCTCACATCGTTTCAAACCCATAAGACATTTGTTCATTTTTGGCACACAAATGAAGATTGCCCATCCATGTAAAGACTATGTAATCAACAACTAAATGCTGTACATTTGATAAGAATCGAGCATAAAGAACATGGTTGCTTTGAATGATGAACAGATTATATTTTAGGTTTTTATTTACCTCGACAAGAAAAGTCAGTAGAAATGGGGACTAAAGCACTGTGTTAAAGTCAGGATGAGGGGAAGCTATTTAGATGAAAGATTACAAGGGTGCATGTATTAAAAAAAGATATACACCGATAAATAATTTATATAGTACAATATTCCATCTAAACATAAGATTTGTCCATTTTGATTTCATGGTGACGGAGTGTTGCATAATAGGTTAATAGAAATGTCCATAAACTTATAATAATAATATCCTGGAAGAAAATTACCAGCAATTTTTCTGTTTTTCGCATATTTTTGTAAATGTACATCTAAGATTGGTGAATGCATATACACAGAGCACATCTAATATGTTAAACAGAAGCTCAAAAGGTGTGTTTGACCCATGAAAACTTGATTCTTGAAACATGCATGCATGTTTTAGCTTCCATTTACCATATTTGATCTTAAATTTACATTTATGCATTTGGCAGACGCTTTTATCTAAAGCGACTTGCATTGCAGTTCAAGGTACATTTACATTCTTATCAATTCTTGATTTCCCTGGAAATCGAACCCATGATCTTGGTGTTAGATCCGTAATAGATGTGCGTTCATCTGTGTTTATGTGTAGATGGATAGGGTATTTCTGAGTTGCAAACTTCCAAACTATTTTACATCAAAATCAAAATCAGAATCATATATACTGTGACAGATACACATTTTGATGCTTACAATGAGAGAATGATTTTTTTTCTACAGTAAAAAAGCTCTCAATATACTCAACCAAATTTGATTGGTCAAATGGAGTTTCAATGGCTAAGACATTTTTATTTGAGTTTTTTGTGCAATCATGTGCTCATTTTTCAACAACATACTGAGTGTGAGTCACTCTGATACTGATCTTCTGACAAATCCGAAAAAGTACAGCTGAAAATAAAAGACTTTGACCTCGTAAACCGTAAAGAAAATAAGGCGGTCACATGACAAAAGAAGCAGAAATCTTTCCTTGAGCCCTTGTCCTTGAGCCTCATGCAACATGCAAAAGCTGCCAGCTGTTTACTTCAGTCTATTGTTTTGTTTGCTGTAGGTTTTCCATACAGAATTACTAGAAGTACTTTGCCACAGTACTTTGGCTTCTTTCTTATTTTGTCTACTTTCTGGTCGCAATTTTTTTTCATCATCTTGATTTAGAAATTTTGGAATCTCACACTGCTCAGAGACTCCTGGCAGGGCTGCCTCATTAGACCTGCTTCTTTTGTGGTCCAGTTCGTTACATTGTGGTGGAAAAGGTGAGAATGGGATTTATGACAGACAACCTGTCTTCTGTATTCCGCCAGTGGCTTTGTCTCTATTTATGCTGGCGTGTATTCTTTACATGTTGGCATCAGACTAGATTCAGCATTTCGGTCCATGTTTCTAGGTCTATTTGATTCTATTTTTCATTTCCCCTTCAATTAATTTCCCATTTAGTCATTTAGCAGGCACGTTTATTCAAATTGAACAAGCATTTTATTATACAATTACCAACAATATTCGTAGTACCAAGTAGAAGTCCTCAGTTGAAGCATGTTTCATGACTGTGGGAGTGAATCGTGAAAGACAGCTAGTTCCGGTTGTTTACTTTGTTTTGTTTAAGTTATGTTTATCTTAAATTAGTTTTCTTTAGCTGTTAGACAGTTTGCCCCGTAAAACCCTTGAAAGCACCACTGCTACAGCCATACACATGCAGGTGAATGTCTTTGTCCATTGCGTTTCATTGCGCCAGAAATGTTGTTTTCAAAAAAAAAAAAAAAAAATAGTTTCAAATATACAACTCGAGACCCATTTTGGTGTGCTTTATCCAGCTGTTGAACACAAGAGTCTGCCTATATC